CCCTCTAACCGAATGAAGAGCATTACGAGGGTAATATGCGCATGCGTCTCTACACACGGCACAGTAATGGCGGAGAATTTGAGTCGGAGAGCTCTTCGGACCATTCAATTTTCAATTTTTTAACACTGTAAACTGTAAAAACGTCTTTTTTTCCTTGTAAATTGTAAAAAGCCCTTTTTATTTCTCGTAAAACCATACCAGCTACCCCCTTGCCTCCCCTCTATATAGGCATTTTAAAAGTACTCCATACAATCTGACTATCAAAAAGAGCCATTTCAGGAGAACTCTCACTAGATAAATCTCCATGGAGTGAGATTTGCATACTAAAATCTGGTCGCCATCTTTCCTTTTATATGCCCCCGAGGAAGCAGTTTAAAAATTTGCATATTCTCCATCCATTTGGACAAGACGCCTTGCATCACGTGATCAGGGCGCCAATTCAGAACATTCTCTGACAGATTTGCGTGTCAGAATAAAATTCACATGAGGAGATACTCTGAACACTAAATGGCTACACGGTGTGTACTTATTGACGTAGTCGCAACACACGAGGTGACTCTTGGGCGTAATGCACACACTGTTTACAAATGCCATCAGCTGAGTAGCCATTGTCATAATAATGGCGACATTGAATTTCAGCAGCCATCGAGTGGTATCGACGCTCTGCTACGCTTAAAACGTGGTTTTCCATTTTGTATAATCGTGATTAGGTTTTAGCTAACCATCAACATGTTATATTTGGTGGACACCTACCTTTTAGACGCAGGGTTTGGCAACGAATGTGCTACCTGCTATTGACAATCAAATCTGACCGTGCTGTCGAAAGTAGCCGCCGCCATGATTCTTCTTAAATTTACCGAAGTACCCGGATGTTGTGCAATTTCGTTTGTTTTTGGTATGCGCCTATCGTTTTCATCGGAAAGACCAAGCTTTAAAGGAGAAAGAGTGTATGTACGTCACTTTGTTTTTACAATTGTACACTGAATTCTGCCGCGCTTATTTTTCTCCACTCGCAACACACAAACTGATGTATTTATTTCCATAACCTGTCACCCAGAAAGCTAGTGATGGCGCTGTTCAACGCGTTTTGCGAGGGACATTTGAAAACTAAATATCGGTCACTGAGATGCCTCACGGACATATTGTTATGTGTAGAAGGGTAGTGATAAACACGTACAACTGTTATTTCGTCACAACAATGCATGTAATATCATGTAATTTGTGTAATTTCACAAAACAGTGTTCTTTTTCGCCTCGTAATGTATGCAATTGCAGTACTTGAGAGCGATTCATCATAATACAACTTGAATATATATGTGGGTGCAGGACTAATTTTAAATACTTTATTTTCGCTGGAATAAATTTTCACTGAAAAGGCTTTTTGGTTGTTTTGTATGGAATTTATTTTTACTGATTTTTGATGAATTTAATGTGAAATATAGGGAAAAAGTATATTCACTGGATTTTATTTTCACGGAATCATCCCTTCAGCAAAAATAGCGAAAATAAATTCCAAGCGATAATTTAGTATTCTACAGTATACTGCCCAAGTGATACATGTGATAGCTCTATAACTATAATATAAAAAAATGAAACCCAGGGAATAGTTAATGCGTTTACTGTATTCTCGCCGTGAGTATTCTCCAGTAGTAGTAGATTTTATTAAATCTACAAACGCAACACATTTACCATCTTGTTAGGGGGGGCAAGGGTTATTTTCGTTCAACGTAATTGCAATATTTTTTTGTTCGTACAACGTAAATTGAAAAAATAAATTCCGTAATTCTGTAATCACAGGCTAGACGTACAATGTAATCAATCAAATATTTTGTTCGTACACTGTAAAAATGTATCATTTTTCTCGGTACGTACAAGAATTTACATCCAAATAAAAAAAATCGTAAAGAATGGTCCAGGGAAATTACATTTTCGAAACTGTGAAACGACTAGATGACACAATTCATTGCAAAATTCAATTTTCACTGTTAACTGTAAAAACGTTTTTTTTTTCTTTGTAAATTGTAAAAAACCCTTTTTATTTCCCGTAAAACTGTACCAGCTACCCCCTACGCCCCCTCATTGTTACTAACGAGTCCGCGGCCTTTCCGAGATAGGTACTAGTATGTCCCACTGTTGACATCGTAATTCTCGCGGATTTGCCACACTGTGTGTAAATTAACGAATGGTAGCGCCTGTGATTGCAACAATGAGAGCCGTTCAACGGCGACGTTGTTGGGCAATAATCATTCGCTGCATCCTTGCTTGACTTCTTTAAGGTTGTTGAATTCGACCGGACAATTTCCGCTTTATTTTCGACCGCGCAAGCCCGGAAATATCACCGACCACTCAATCGCTCGCTTGCATTTACAATTCAGAATATTAAAAATGTTCTCAGGTTCACATCGATCTATAGTTGTCTTTCTGGTTTTCATAGACGTTGAATAGCCGTCAGAAATTTTATACTTTTTGTTTTTAACTATCTATAATTATAAGATAAGATAAGATAAGATAAGATGACTTTATTGACATTATTCTTTCTATAGAAGATGAACATAGTCAAGTAAAATAAAATAAAAAGTAAAGAGGATAATCAAAAAATTAAAATAACAGATTAATTAAAAGGCAATTACAAGGTAGTACAGAATCAGGTGTTTTATTAATACATACCTGTTTGCATTATAAACACACCAAGCTTAATGTGACAGTTTGTCATAATGTAAATAAATTTATCGGGATGATCCATTGAAGTAAAATTAGGATTATACTTATGTAAGTCTGTAAAAAGTATCTGCCTCATTTTATTGTGCTGTGAACAGTCCATAATGTAATGGTACTCATCCTCAACTGAGTTATTGTCACATCTTGTGCAGTTTTGTGTTTGGTCTAGTATACCTCCCTTTCTCAATCATAAGCTGATGGTCACTAACTCTTAATTTCAAAATATATTTTCTATATTTTGAATTATTCACATCCATCAAATACTTTTCCAGTTTGAAGTTTGTTTTAAACTTCCTGTAGGTGCGAAGTTTGTTGAGCTCTCCTGAATCAGATTTTTCTAAATTAATGTAACTCTTCCGCTTTTTAGCTCCGCTGTCGACAAAGTCGACACTAACAGCGGAGCTGTACATATTACTGATTGTCCGCCGTCGTCCGTCGTCCGTCGTCGTCAACTTTACAATATCAACTTCTTCTTTGAAACCGCAAGTCAGAATTTTTTTCAAATTTGATATGCAAGTACGTTGGATGGTTCTTTCTCAGATTTGTTCATTTCATGTCAAAATCTCAAATTCTCTAATTTTGATGAATATTTTTGTTATTTTTGGTAAAAAGTGATATTTTCAACTTCTTGTTAAAATCGGCAAGTCCGATTGCTTTGATATTACATATATAGGTACTACATGTGGACCTCTTTCAGATTTGTTCATTTCGTGATGATATCTTTAATTCTTTAATTTTTATGAATATTTTTGTCATTTTTGGTAAAAAGTGATATTTTCAACTTCTTGTTAAAACAGCAAGTCCAATTGCTTTGATATTACATATATAGGTACTACATGTGGACCTCTCTCAGATTTGTTCATTTCGTGATGATATCTTTAATTCTCTAATTTTGGTGAATATTTTTGTCATTTTTGGTAAAAAGTGATATTTTCGACTGCTCGTTAAAAACCGCAAGTCCGATTGCTTTGATATTACATATATAGGTACTACATGTGGACCTCTCCCAGATGTGTTCATTTCGTGATGATATCTTTAATTCTTTAATTTTTATGAATATTTTTGTCATTTTTGGTAAAAAGTGATATTTTCGACTTCTTGTTAAAAACAGCAAGTCCAATTGTTTTGATATTACATATATAGGTACTACATGTGGACCTCTCTCAGATTTGTTCATTTTGTAATGATATCTTTAATTCTTTAATTTTGGTGAATATTTCTATCAGTTTTGGTAAAAAGTTATATTTTCGACTTCTTGTTGAAAACCGCAAGTCCGATTGTTTTTATATTACATATATAGGTACTACATGTGGACCTCTTTCAGATTTGTTAATTTTGTGGTGATATCTTCAATCATCTAATTTTGATGATTATTTTTGTCATTTTTGGTGAAAAGTGATATTTTTGAATTCTTGCTGAAAACAGCAAGTCCCATTGCTTTGATACTATACATATTGTTCATTTTCTAATGATATCTTCTGTTCTTTAATTGAAATGTGCATAACAGCGGAGCTATCTCAGCCGACTAGCTGCTTGTTTGAATAATCATCTTCTATTTTTTCTAAAACTCCCTTCACACTTTTACCATCCCCCTTCCAGTAATCATGTACATTATCAACACCAGTTATTTGACTGATTGTTGTTGCCTCTTTGTTTTGTTGTCGATATTGTAAGACATTGCCTCGTGAATTAAAGTGTTTTCTTTCACAGTGCATGATCTATGCCAGTATTTTATCATCATTTTATTAATAAATACTGACAGTGGATGTCTACCCAGTTCTCCTCTTACAGCCAAATTTGTTGCAGACTGGTTAACTTGGAGGAGTACAATTTTATGTTAATTTTTTCGATGACTGTTTTGTCTGTATACTTTTCTATCCCCCAAATCTCACAGCCATATATTAATATAGGCCTAATAACATGATCAAAGACATTCAGCCAAGTTTTTATATTAATTTTGGTAGACCCACTAAGAGATTTTTTAATAAAGAAAAATGCTTTGACTGCCTTTTTATATAAATTTTCTTTTGCCAAATCAAACTTTCCATTTGGCTTAAACTCCATACCTAAATATTTATAACTACTGACAATATCAATTTCTATATTATTATAATAAAAA